ACTCCCCTCCCGTCGGTTGTCCCCGTTGAGGAGTCTGCTGACTCTGGTGGCCCCCCCCCCCGTCCTTGCCGCGTCTCCCTTCCCCGGTGTCTCCGCCTCCGCTATCGCACTCGCCGCCGCCGCCGCCGCCGCAGCTCTTGGCCTCTGGGGGTATTGGCGTTGAGGAGAGGGTTCGTTCTGCGGCTCCTGGCGTGGTCTTTCCCGGCGGGCCTGGGGGTGCTGCTTGTGCTGGAAGGGGGTTCTCGCTCTGGGGTTGTTGGTTCTGGGGGTGCTGCCATTGAGTGTTCTCTCGGCGGTCGTCGTGCCCCTGCCGGTCCGCGGGTCGAGACCCAGCCGTCGCAGCAGCCGCCGAAGCCGTCGCCGCAGCCGTCGCTCTTCGCCTGCTCGGCCTTCCCTCCTCCGACCGCTCGCCGGTGTCTCCCCCACCACCTTCTCACCTTCCTGTCTATGACCCTGTGTTCCCACCCCCAGACTATTCTCCGGCCCGTCTTCCTCCTCGTTACCCTTTTGTGTCCCCTCCGCTGTCTCCTGACCCTACACCTCCGTCCCACGTTTGGTCTCGGCATCCCTCACGTGCTCGTCCTGTCTCCCCTGTCCTACGCTCCCACCCTATGTTGCTCCGTTCTCACTCGTCTTGTCCTCACCTCCTCCCCTCGCCTCCCCCCTCGTCGCTTGTTGTTGCACCTCCCCCGCTGTCTGACTACCTCCATGCCGCTCGTCCCCTTGTCCCTCGGGTCCTTGCCTCTCTTGTTACAGACCCGTCTGTTCTTGTCTCGTGCCTTGACGTGCTTGTCGCTGCTGTCGCTGACTTCGCCTCTACCCGCCGCCTTGACTATGCTACCGCTCTGGTCTCCGACCCCGCCCGTCCTCCGTCCGTCGGGGGTGCACCTGCCCTTGGCAGTGACGTTCTAGAGGACAGGCAGTACGAGCTTGCTTTCCTTTCCGAGGCCGCTCCCCATCTCTGCTCCATGCTCCTAGTCCTAGAGGGTGACCCAGACACCTTCGACATCCCGACCCCTCGCACTTACGCTGAGGCCACCTCGGGACCTTGGGCCTCTCAGTGGATAGCTGCCATGGAGCAGGAGATGGCATCTTGGAGGTCCACCGGCACTTATTTCGACGCAATTCCCCCTCCTGGGGTGAACGTAGTCGATGGTCGGTGGCTCTTCAAGGTGAAGCGCCCCCCTGGAGAGCTGCATGTCTTCAAGGCGTGCTACGTGGCTAGAGGCTTCAGCCAGCGCGAGGGGGTGGACTTCTTCCAGACCTTCTCAGGCGCGGGAGCCTAGCGCAGACCGGGGTGGTTTCTCAGGCGCCCGGTCTACGGCCTGCGCTAGGCTCCCCGCGAGTGGCACGACACGCTGCTTGCCACGCTAGCAGACCTGCAGTTCTTTCCGTCCTCTGCTGACCCCTCACTTTTTGTGCGTTCCGGCCAGACTCCGTTCTACATCCTTGTCTACGTAGACGACCTGGTTTTTGCTACTGCTGACAGGGAGGCACTGGCCTCTGTGAAGGCAGAGCTGCTGAAGAGACACACCTGCACAGACCTTGGAGAGTTGCGTCGCTATCTTGGTCTGCAGATCTCTAGGGACAGAGCAGCACGCACCATCACTCTGACTCAGTCACACTTGGTGCGTCAGGTTCTTCAGAGGTTCTGTCTTCAGTTCTCCTCCGCACAGCCCACACCTCTACCTATGGACCATGGGCTCTCCGCTCCCGTTCCTGAGGAGCCAGTAGAGCCCAGTGGCCCCTACGCAGAGCTGGTGGGTTGCCTCATGTACCTGATGACTTGCACTCGCCCAGATCTCGCATACCCTCTCAGCATCCTGGCTCGCTTTGTGGCCACCGGCAGACACCGACCACAGCACTGGTCTGCCGCTAAGAGGGTTTTGCGATATCTAGCAAGTACATCGGGCATGGGGTTAGTGCTTGGAGGATGCAGGCAAGTGGTTCTCACTGGGCACACAGATGCTTCTTGGGCAGACGACTCTGAGACTCTCAGGTCGTCTCAGGGCTACTGTTTTAGCTTTGGTTCGGGTGCTATCTCTTGGAGATCCACTCGCTCGCCGTCTGTTGCTCAGTCCAGCTGTGAGGCTGAGATCTACGCCGGTGCCATGGCGGCACAGGAGCTCCGCTGGCTGACCTTCTTGCTCACAGACTTAGATGAGCGGCCTAGCTCTGCCCCGGTCCTGTACGCTGACAACAGGGCCATGATTCTCCTGTGTCAGGAGCCTCGGCTTGAGGGCAGAGCGAAGCATATCCAGCTGAGGTACTTCCTCCTGCGCAAGCTACAGCAGCGTCGCCAGGCTCGCGTAGTTCACTTGGCCTCCAGTGCCAACACAGCTGATATCTTTACGAAGGCGCTTGCGCCTAGAGATCATCAGCGGCACTGTGTACAGCTTGGTCTTATTCCTGTAGCTACTCACCTATTAGGACCCTGATTGTATACTCTCGTCTATATATATCTGTCTGACTGGCCTTATGGCCTTGTCTCCAGTAGTTGGACTAGTAGTGCCGCCCTTGTTTGCTTTAGTCTTGTTTGTAATCTGGCTGACTGGTCTCCAGACCCCTGCCTCAGTGGTTGGACTAGTAGTGCCACCCTGAGCTGTATGCTTCTTGCTTAGTACCACCCCTTCTCTAGCCTAGGGGGTGTGTCAACTTATATATATGCTGTATGTAGAAGTTATAGGCTAGCCTAGGTGTGTGCTTCTAGTGAGTACAACCCCCACAGGTATATGTTCTAGGTTTCTCACACTAGTAATTCATTCTTGCATTCTAACAGTCTCTTGCGCCTGGCGAAGTTCGGTAACTTCGGCGCGAAGTTTCTCATTATCGTTTAACACAGCTTGCAAGCAAGCGTCCGTGGCGGCGAACTTCGCTAGCAGCTCGTCGAACAATGCCTGGTCTGTTAGAAGGCTAGCTTAGCTAGGAAACTAGGAAAGGCATGAGGTTTAGCTAGGAGGAGCCATGGAGTGGCGTGAGGTTTAGGAAGGAGAAAAGTTGAGGAGAGAAAGAAGAGGGTTGGAATAGAAAGAGAGAGGCATACAAGGAGAGGATTGTACCCTCTACAGTAAAGTTCGATAACCTACCAAGCCTAACAATTTTATAACTCAATATATAATTTAACACAACCCCTAGGCTCGGTAGTCACGAGCCCACACACACCCACACCTTCTAACCTAGCACCCCCATTCCAGCCACAGTGACAGCGACACTAAGTCGGTCGACCCCACGGCGCGTGAGGCGGCGACGTCGACCGCAGGGGCTGCGGCGGCAGCGGCGGCAGTGTCGACAGCGGCGGCGGCATGTGGCTGCGTGGCCCCGACGCAAGCGGCGACAGCGGCGGCGGCGGCGGCTTCGACAACAGTGGCGGCGGCGGCACCCGCACCTCTCGGTGACGTGGCCAGGACCCGCGACGGTGGGACGGCCGGCGGGAGTCAGCCGTCGTCTGCGGTAAGGAAGAGGACACAGGGGAAGGAGGGGGGGGCGCCACAGGCTGACATGCGGGCGGCCGGTCTAGCGGCGCCACAGGCGTCGCACGGCCGGCTGCAGCCCGACGACGCCGTCACAGAGCGGCGTCAATGCCGCAGCAGGACGTCGACTCTGCGACGGCAGCACGACGGCGCCGTCACGCCGACTGCGCGCTGTCGCGTAGACGCCGCGGCAGCGTGAGGGCGCCGTCACGTCGCCACAGCAGCTTGACGCGACGACGAAGCCGCGGCGCGACGACGCGGCCACAGCAGCTTGACGCGGGCGCCATGGACGCGAGAGAGAGAGAGAGAGAGAGAGAGAGAGAGAGAGAGAGAGAGAGAGAGAGAGAGAGAGAGAGAGAGAGAGAGAGAGAGAGAGAGAGAGAGAGAGAGAGAGAGAGAGAGAGAGAGAGAAACAAGCACGCAGCGGAAACGTGAGGAGCAGGCCCACAAGGAATGAACTACTCTGATACCATGTTAGAAGGCTAGCTTAGCTAGGAAGCTAGGAAAGGCATGAGGTTTAGTTAGGAGGAGCCATGGAGTGGCGTGAGGTTTAAGAAGGAGAAAAGTTGAGGAGAGAAAAAAAGAGGGTTGGAATAGAAAGAGAGAGGCATACAAGGAGGGGATTGTACCCTCTACAGTAAAGTTCGGTAACCTACCAAGCTTAACAATTATATAACTCAATATATAATTTTCCATGGTCCATGTGGCGGACACTACGCCAGATGGGCAGGGGAATATCAGTGACTACTCGTGCTCATGTAAGAGCGCGAATGCTATCATATTCGGGCGAATTAATTCGTCTAATTCGCTGCCGATCGCTTTGCAACTCATTGAGCGAATCACTCCCCTCCCGAAAAAAAGTTTTCCGCATACGGAAGCTTGTAGGTTAGGAAAGTAGCTATGAAAACGAGATGTTATGAGTGTTTCACCAGAGTAGCGCGGAATGGAATGTCAAGGTTGAGAATAACAGAATGTGGTACAATGGAATGACGAAGCAAGATGTAGGAACACCATAGCAATCCTAGCTGTGTAATCGAACAGGTTCGAAGAAGGCATCCGAGGAAGCGGAGCGCTTAAGAGTGACACGGAAATGGTTCGGTGCCGTGTTTGGGCCGAAGCTAGGGCAGGTGTCGGTGCCATGTGGGGTTGGGGTACGCGTTAGCGGTGTGGCGTGCTAAGGAATGAAAAAATCCTTATAGAAAATGTATTGTAGTATTGTATATTATCGATGAATTGTAGATTGCATCAAATTGAAATGTACTACGAGCTAGTACAGAACATGACGAAGATCAAGTTTGCACGTCCCTCTCTTGTTCTGTTCCCGCCACTTCGCAATCAACAAGACCCACGTTCGTTGATTCTCAATGCACCCAGCCGAGCCGCCTCGCTTCCTCTCGAAATTGCTTGACGAGAGGCAGAAGGGATGAGGGTGGGGTGGGGCCAGGCAGGAGTGGGTCTGGTCTGGTCAAGCGGAGTGGGGTGATGATGAGCAATGTATGGGTGAGGCTGGAATAGCGTCTGGTCGGGATGCGAGCAGAGCCAATCTGCAAAAACGCGGGCTATCTGGTAGGAATCCTGTCGGTGTGGATAGGGAGCCAAGCGCGTCATTAGCGGCCAACACAGCGTGCGACTAGTAGAGCCGGGCGATCATGTCAGCAGCGGACTTAGAGCCGTCGGGCGAGGCAGCAGGTGAGGCGTGGATACGAGTCGACGACGCACCGAGGCCCCGTGGAAATGGCAAAAGGAGCGCCCTCGTACCGGGAGTCAGCTGGCCTGGTGAGGTTCCGCAGCATCGCGCCTCGCATTTTGCGGTCGATCTCGTGGCGAACCCTAACCCCCTCCACCCGCTCGCTACCATCGCTCTCATCCCCTTGTCGCCATGGCAGGCCCGCCGTTCGGACAACAGCAGCGGCAGCGGGGCGAGGCGAGGCGGGCGGCGGTGACGGACGGCACGCAGTGCTTCTTCCCGGCGCGGCTGTCCAAGTACTTCCCGTTCGGCTCGCTGCTCGCCTTCAACTTCGTCCTCGTGCGTCCCACGCCTCCTCCCCGCCGCGCGCTGCCACCCCTCCTCCTGCATGGCTTCCGTCCCTGACTTCTTCCCTCGCTGCTCCCCCCCTTCATCCTTGAGCTCACCTAACCACCCCCTCCCCCGGGCCTCGCTGCCGTCGCTCCCTCCCCCCCTCGCCGACGCTCGGTGCGCGTGTCCTGGGCGCGCGGCGAGCAGGTGCTGGCGTCGTGCGCGGGGGACGCGGCGAGTCAGAAGACGGCGATCACGGTGGCGCTCGTCTGGTGCCTGCTCTCCTCCACGCTCCTCGCATTCCTCAAACGCCTGCCGCCCAACTCTAACCAGTGAGTGCCGCCCAACTCTAACCAGTGAGTGCCGCCCAACTCCAACCAGTGAGTGCCGCCCAACTCCAACCAGTGAGTGCCGCCCAAATTACCAGAGAAAGCACAATTCGCGACACTACCCGCGTTCCTCGCACTTGTGCGCCAATCATCTCCGCTGTTCATCCGTGTTCACCTATCGTCTCCTTCCCCCGCATGCACCCACGCTCTCATCTGCTCCCGCCAGGCACGGCGGCGCGCGGGTGTTCCGCACGTCGACGGCGGACTTTGTGCTGATGTGCGACGCGCACGTGGCGGGGCACGCCGCCATCTCCGCCGTGGCGTTCACGTCGCTCGGCTTCTTCTCCGAGTCCGTCCGCCACCCTCTCTTCCCAGGTAAACCATGCACCCCCCTTGCCCTCCCCGCTCTTCCTAGGCAAAGCCCGCTCTCATGCGCACTGCGTGCTATCCTCTTTCCCTCCCCACCCCGTCCTCTTGCTTTCTGTTCTATGCTTCTGCGCCTGTGCGCGCCCTTCATCACTCCCATCTCTCTCCTCCCCCCCCCCAGGCGTGGAGCCGCTGTGGTTCCTGGCGGCGCAGTACGTGCTGCTGCTGCTGGCGTGCCTGCTCACGCTGGTCGTCATCGACGCCACGCCCGGCCTCACCACCATCCCCTTCCCCTTCGCCCTCCCCGCCTCCCCGCCATGCAACCACCATTGCGCGCATGCCTGCCCCCCCAACCGCGCCTGCCTGCCTCTGCCCCCATCTGCTCTCCCGCGCTCCACCGACCTCCGCTCCTCTGGCGGCTCCGCGCTTCTCGCCACCAGTGCCGCCGCGACTGCTGGCGGAAAATCGGGAGACCTGGCGTGCAGCGCCACTCCGCGGAGAACCCCCTCGCGCACCCCCTACCTCCTGCAGCTGGCGCGCGAGGCGGGTGCGCCAGTCGCGCCAATGCCCCCCGACGCGCTGCTGTCCGCGGAAGCTGGGCAAGCGGCAGGAATAAAGGGAGCCACGGAGGAGGTCGGAGGGAATGAGGGCGCGCGTGGGGGTGTCGCAGGAGAAGGGGACGAACGGCGGACAGTGGCGGCGGCAACGAGGGGTGCGGCGGATTGGGGGGGAAGGCAAGAGACGAGGGGGGCCGGCGACACAGAGGTGACAGGCGGAAACAAGGCAGGGGAGAGAACAGCGGCCGGGGAAAGCGTTAAAACGTCGAAAACAGATGCGGAAAAGAGAGGAGCAGACGAGGCCGCGAGGGATGCGGGAGAAAGCAGCGAGGGGAGGGAGACGGACAGGGTGGGCCGGCCTGAGCCGGAGGCGCAGACGGATGAGAGCGGCGGTGGGGAGAACCGTGAGAGTGTTGCTGAGGGGACATCCATGCCATCCGCCCTGCCGCAGCTGTCGCCGCCGGCTTCGACAGCAGGGGAAGCAGGCGCGCAGGAAGAGCGACAGGGCGTGCGCGACGGCGACATCAGCCCTTCAAATCCGCCTCTGGTGGCCGTCGCACCGCCGCCGCCAACCCCTGCGGCTGTGCTTGCCGTGCCATGCCCGTCAGCAGCAGTGGCAGCAGCAGAAGCAGAAAATCCAGACGCAGCGGCAGAAGCAGAAGCAGAAGCAGAAGCAGAAGCAGAAGCAGAAGCAGAAGCAGAAGCAGAAGCAGGAGCAGAAGCAGAAGCAGAAGCAGAAGCAGAAGCAGAAGAAGGAGCAGAAGCAGAAGAAGGAGCAGAAGCGGAACCAGAGACAGAAACAGCGGAAGAAGCAGCAGAAACAGAAGCGGAAGCAGCGGCGAAGAAGGAAGCAGAGGCAGTGGAGGAGGAAGTTGGTAGCAAAGCGATTGACGCGTCCACAGCCAGCTCGCCTGCGCGTGCCGGCCAGCCTGCCCGCAGAGCGACGCCAGTGAGCAGTGGGGGGCTGCAGACGAACCAGGGCGCCCCAGTCGGGGATCCCCCAGCCACTGCTGTTCCCGCACGTGTTGCCAACGCAGCTGTTGCGAAGGCCGTTGGCTCCGCTGCTGCTGCGGCTGCTACTGGCAGCAGAGGGGTCAGCAGCGGCGGTGGCGGGGCGAGGGCAGGAGGTGGGGGCGCATGGGCGAGGGCGAGCGGCAGGCGGGAGCTGTGGGGCAGCGCGAGACAGGCTGGCAGGGGGGGGGCCGCGGTGACAGGGAGGGCGGGCGACGGGGGGGGAGCAGGTGAGAGTGGGAGGGATGGCAGCAGGGCGAGGGGTGTGAGAGAGGAAAGGGGTGGAGGAGGTGCAGGTGGGAAGACGGACAGGGAGAAGAGCGAGCGGAGCGCAGGAGGTGGAGAGGAGGCAGAGGGGGGAGGTACGCCTGCAGTGGTGGCGGAGGAGAGCATGGCAGAGAGTGGGACAGGGCTGCGCAATGAGGGAGTGGGGGAGCAGCAGAAGAGAGCGGAGGCAGCACATGGCGAGAACCCAGCAGACGGCGACAATGCAGCAGATGAGGATGGTGAGGAGGTGGGGGAGGAAGCAGGTGGTCAGGTGCCAGAGAAGGAGAGGGAGAGTGCAGGGAAGGGTGAGGAGGTGCGGGCAGCGGGAGGAGGGGAGGGGGGAGAGGGAGTGCGGGAGGAGATGACGCGGCGGCTGGTGCTGGCGCGCTTTCACAGCCTCGTCAGCCACGTCAAGAAGGCCGCGGCTGCTCTCGTGCAAGCCCAGGAAGGCGCATGCGGCACGGAGGGCAGCAGTGGTGGCACCGGGAGTCCAGGAGGGGGCGCGGGGAGAGGGGCAGGTGGCGATGGGAGCAGGGAGGGGGGCGGTGAGGAGGGTTCGAGGGCTTTGTACGAGGGGGCGGTGCAGCAGGTGGGGCGCATGGTGGCGGCGATGGCAGGCATGGGCATGCACGAGGATGTGGTGGCGTGGCTTGCATGCGACAGCCAGCTGCTTTCCCTACTCTCCTCCCCGCGCCCCCTTCCCCCCTCCCCTTCCCCCTCCCCTCCCCTACTCCCCCCTCACCACTTCCCCACGTGTTCCCCTCCTAAGCCTTCACCAGCATCCTCCAGCCCCTCTCCACCGCCCCTCGCCCCCTTTGTCTCCCTCGTGCTGCTGCCTGTCATGCGCCTCCTCCCCTCCCTCCCCCCGCTCTCCCCCACCCGCCTCCTCTTCCTGCGCCTCTGGCTTCCTCCTCTCTCCTACATCCCCCCGTCCGCTGCGGTGCACGCAGCATTGGGGGGAGTGCTGGGGGCATTGGAGGAGGAGGAGAAGGCAGAGGTTGAGGTGATGGTGGGGGCAGTAACGAGGGTGTGGGAAGGGGAGGCAGTAGATGTGCAGGATGGTGATGGCCAGTAGAAAAAAGTGTTCGGAGTGCGTAGGTGTTCAAGGGTGTTTTGCATCCCACTGCCATCAGGAATGGATGATGTAAGATAGATACCGTTAGAGCATGATGTGGGCTGTGCTGGTGGCAGCTGACTTGACCTGGCGATTCTTGACACTGTAGAGTGCTTTGTAGGTGACGGAAGCAACACCAGCCTTGCTGGAAGGGGGCTTCTGTGAATGAGGTCAGGGTTCCCGTTAGCAGACGAAATCCGTCTGTTCATCTGAGAATCAGACTCACATTTTCCGTGTCATCTGATTTTTTGACAACCATTAATTTTCCATCTGAACGACCATCTTGGTTATATAAATTTGTCTGAATTCTCAGACTAGGTGTAGGCAGTCGTCTGAGTTTTCAGACAGCGCGTATATTTCCGTCTGATACCGACACATCTGCCCAGGTGCCCACGCTCCCACCGGCCCATGTGCGCATTGGGCCAATTGTGCCATCCAGTCCTAGGAAACCGTTGCACGCACAATAAAGTCGTCGCGTGGCCTCTCATCACCGCTGTACATTTCGTATCAGATTTACAGCGGCCTGAGTCACATGCTGTTACCAATTCGTCGATATGTGCAAAACTTGGCTTGCTGGCAACTCTAAGGCATGATTTGCATGCAGCATACCGCCAGCGCATTGCCTGCGCTGTATGGAAGCCACCCTCGATGCCTGCCAGCGCGAGATGAGTTTCGTGCTAAATTAGGCACCGCCACATGCAAGGTGCCGCCGAGGCGTCCTTGCGTAATGGCAGTGCAAGGCTCTCGTCGTAGCTCCACATCTATTCTGTCACCCTCTGGTTATAGTTTTTCTACACGAGATGCCTCCCCCATGCCTCGTTCCTCCTAGTCGTCCTCTCAGCAGAGTCGCAAGTGTAGTCTTGTATCTGCTCGACGAATAGGTCTCATGTCTGCTGCCGCTGGTTCCGCAAAGCCAGCGGTAGATTCCCCCGTCGAGGAGCATGTAGTAGCCTTGCTCCCCAGGGTATCAGGCATCGACCTTATTACTGGTCGTGCTACCACTGTAGCATCGGCACCTGCACACGCCGCATCAACTGTATCCACCCCACCGTCCCCTTTACCTCCGCTAGACACAGAACCGTGGATCACATTCGCGCCTGAGGGTACAGCGCCCCCCACGTCTGAGCGTCCTAGCAGCCCGCCACCGCATGTCGCACCTGCCGTTTCCGTCGGCCCGTCCGCTCGCATCTCGGGAGGGCCTGTGCTTCCTGTGCGCAAGCCTGGACGGGTGCGATACCAGCAGCGCAAGCTTACCTTCGGTAGGCCTGCCTCATCTACCTCCACGTCCTCCGTGCGCCTTGGCGAGCAGCGGGCTCGTACTGATCCCGCGCCGTCCACACCGTCGGACGACGAAGGTCCGTTTCCCTTAACAATCGCAGAGCTTCAGGCAAAGGCGGAAGAGCAATGGACGCGCCATTTTCCGTGGCTTGTCATCTCCGAAACCTCCGAGGGGCGTCCGTGCATGAAGTGCACAGTCTGCATGGTGCACGGTGACGACCCCGACTACCAGTACGGGCGCAATGGAGAGGGCGGGATCGATATTCAAAAGCAGACTATGCGGAAGCATCAGCACAGCCAGAAGCACGCGGCGGCGATGGCGCGCAAGCTTCAACTTGACGGCAAAAAGGCAAAGCAGCGGTCCATCGTGGAGTTTGAAAATGGCGACGCGAAATCCAAGCGACTGAAGCGGCTGATGGCGATCGTCCACTTCATCTGCAAGTCGGACGCCCCAGTTCTCCTCTTCGTATCATTGGTGCAGTTCATGGCGCAGCAAGGCACTCCTGATCTGCCAGAGAAAGAACGTGGAACCTACCAAAGCGAGTGAGTGTTGTCAATCATGCGGGGCGCCTTGTTTGTGCCAGGTTCTCATGATATTTATGTATGCCACCGTTGTTTGTATTCCGCAAATGGTCACGGAAAGTCTTGCTATTAAGCAGTGCTTTTACCTCTTTGTGTGCAGGTATGGCTTCAACCAACTCATTGAGAACATGGTCGGCTACCTGCGCGCGAAGCAGCTGCCCACCTCAAGGCGAGCCCATTTCTCGGCATCCAGCTTGACGAGAGCACCGACAGACGGCGGGGCAAGCATATGATAGTGTATCTGACGTTCCTGCGCGATACGACGGTCGTGACTGAGTTCTTCGCTCACCTGACGGTCGAGAAGTGCGACGCCGCATCGCTTCAAGCCGTCCTGCTGACACACCTGGAGGGACAAGGCGTCGACCTAAACCGCATATGTGGCATAAGCACTGATGGAGCGAGTGTGATGACGGGAGCCCAAAACGGGCTTGTCGCAAGGCTTCGCACTCGTATTCCTCACCTCGTGTCATGCCACTGTATTGCTCATAGGTATGCTGTGCCCCACATCAGTTTTGCCTTATGGTTTTCTCTGCCCGGATTCTGACCAGCGTCATTTGCAATGTGTGCAGGGAAGCTCTCGCTGCCAAGGATGCTGCAGCAGAGTTCCCTGACTTGGGGATGGTTGACAAAGTCGTACGATATTTGGCCGACATTCTCGGCCGGTCGATTGTCGTCCATTCCCGATTCAAAGAGCTGCAGGAGGTGGTCACCGAGACGAACCTCGAGATGCAAGGGATTCACAATATCCGCTGGTTGTCTCGGGGCGAGGCCATCCAGCGTCTGGTTGAGGTTTTCCCTGCAGCAGTGCTTCTCCTAAGGGAGTATGATTCTGCTATGTATGCGCTCGTTATAACCTTGAAGTTCCATTTTCTCTTGTATTTCCTTGCTGATGTTTTGAAGGAGCTCAACGCCCTCAACCTGAAGTTCCAACGGCGGCAGGTGCGGGTAGCATTGAATCGTTTCCAGCATTTTATAAATCTCTGTTTCTAATCCCGTACTCGCCCCTTCGCAGGTCGACGTCACCCAGGTGCTTAGGATGGTGGACAACACCATCGTGACGCTGCGGGATCGTTATGTCAACTACGGCACCCGCTTCGGCCCCGCCGAAGGAGACTTCTTCGAATTCCTGAACCTGGTAGCTACGGGAGCCGACATCACCATTAGCGGCGTGGACGCGAACGGCACTCCGACGACTCACACGTACGAGCTGCAGACTGCCGACATTGAAGGGCAACACACTGGCGGGAACATCGACTCGCTGCAGGAGCTGGCGACGGCGGTGGTGATGTCCATTATCAGCAAGCTGCAGGCGCGACTTTCAGACCTGGCGTCGTTGAACGGCACGCGACTGTTCAAGCAGGGTCTCTATCCCCGGACGGCGGCAAAGCGGGAGCGGAAGTTTGTGGCGTGGCTGCAGGCTCTCCGCAACCTCTGGAAGCGCGACTCCTCCGCTCCCGACACGCTGCCTGGTGATTGTCGTGTTTAAGCATGCATGTGGCTCAAGTCTTTCTCTGCCTTGTTCATGACGTGTATTTACTTCAACCCTGTCTACCATTTACTAAACTCCCTCCTTTCTTCCCTGGCTCTTCTATCCCCTATCCTGAAGGTGTCCACTGGGGGAAGGCAAAAAAGGAGCTGAATAGCTTCACCACTATCATGTCTACTCACCAGGATGACCTCGATTTTCATGCAAGCTTGAAGAACATGCTCTCCACTCCCGACTGGAAGACGGCCTACCTGAATATCGTCAGCATTTGGATAGCAGTGGCGGTGTTGCCGTTGAGCACTGTCGAGTGCGAGCGCAGCTTCAGCCGCCAGAACGTCATTAAGAGTTGGTTGCGCGGCAACCTGTGTGACGCGAAGCTCAGCGATCTGATGACCATGTCCCTCCTCGACTACGACATGGAGTGGGACGGCATGGTGGCGAAGTGGCGTGGGGTCAAGAAGAGGCGGCCCGCGAGGGAGGTAGTGATGGGGCAGGGTTCACGTTCAGCGAAGAGGCAGAAGCGGTCAGCGGCATTCAAGGCGGCAAGAACAGCAGCGCAGGTGGCAGCAGCAGCAGCACGACAGGCGGAGGCACTTGCAGCAGCAGAGGCGGCGCGGATGTTTGATGAGGATGGTGCAGCAGGCACGGTATGGAAGAGGAAGGGCAAGGGCAGAGCGATTTTGCTAGAGTCTGATAGTGAGGAGGAGGATGAGCAAGGATGCAGCAGTGGCAGTGAATCTGAGTAGGGTAGGGTTCTGCTAGTTGAATCTGCAGCGGTATTGGTTGGAAACTCTAGTGAGCTTGTAGGAGGATGTCATTGGTAGAGTTAGGAGTAGCTGCTGTAGTAGGATGTTTGTTGGCTACAACTGTGGCTCGTAGGATGTTCCTAGTGCCTGTAGGAGAAATCTTATTATGAGTAGTGTTGTCTGGAACACATCATTTCAGGAGGCAAATTTCATCTGCAAACACAGATAAGGCTATATACTTCGTCTGAAATTTGAGACCAAGCCAAACATCTCATATGATGGTCAGACAAAACTTTTGTACCCCGTCTGATTCTCAGACTGCCCTAAAAGTTAGCAGGAACCCTGAATGAGGTACCCACCTTGCTAAGATGGTGGGGGGGCTTGGTGCACCGCTGCATTGTGAGCTTTTTTTCTTTTTTTTGCAGTGACGGCTTTGCCAGATATGCTGGAATTAACTACGGTACCCAACAGCTGTGTTGGGCTGAGAAAATGCCCTTGGGATCTTTTCAGAGACTAAGTCCCAATTGTGCAAGATGCTTGAGTAGTGCAGCGGAAGTGTTGAGTAGTTGAACCCTTGCACTAGTATGTGAGAGCAAGGTATTGATTAAAAGAAACAAGCATACAGCAATATATAGAAAATAAGAGATGAAGCAGTTGTAGAATACAGTTGAAGGAACAGTTATCGAGTCGCACAGCGTCTCGATTGTCGGTTCGGTTTAACAGAAAGAATGAATGGCTAGAGTGGTGAGATACAAGGCAATATAGTCTAGAGAGTTGCACCCACTAAGGCACAAACATATATAGTCTACAGTAACTGCATAAGCTATGTTTGACACACCCCCTAGACTATATAGGGGCAGTGCCTAACAAGGAAAGAAGCAGCTCAGGGCGGCACTACTAGTCCAGCCTCTGAGGCAAGGGTCTAAAGACCAGTCAAAGGAATACAGACAAGGCAAGAGCAAGACCAGGGCGGCACTACTAGTCCAGCCACTGGGAGAGGCCACAAGGCCAGTCAGGGTAAAATATATATACACCGTAATCCCCCGTATATAACACCCGCCGAAATAGTCACTCCGCGGGTGGTTTATGCGGGGGAGAGCTTATGATAGGGTGAATTTAGGAGAAAACCCGCTTTTCGGGGGCTGCATTTTACATAACACCCTCCTCGTTTTATACAGCAAAGAACAGTATT